ATAGAGCTAAGTTGATTACATACTCCAATATTAATTATAATTACCAAAATTAATTTAAACCCACGCAGCGCCCGATATCTGTCATATTTGGTCTGAAAACCGGCGTTATCGGATCGTACACTATGCACTATCCTCAAACCGGTTTTAATATAATTAAAATATGATTATTGATTTAAAATTCTCGTTAAACGTTAACCTCGTTAACATTATTACGTTTTCATTCAAAAAGAGATTTAAAATGAAGAATGCTTATTAATATGTGAAGTCGTAATAATAGTAGTAGCATTTGCTTTTTTATAATATTCGGTTGTGACATTAGTTTAATCGATCATCATTATAATCATAAACAGGATGAGGGGAAGTCGCCTCTGCCAATGGCGTTAATTTTTTTTTATAAAGAATGGGCAAACGAGCAGCGAGTACACCGAGATGTTCATCGACGCCCTGGACATGAAGTTTGCTATTTTGTTTCGTTACACGAGCCTGCTCACAGCCGAATTTAAATTAATACACGTCCCCGAGCGCGTTCGTCCCTTTAGGTTTCTGGTATCCTGCACGTTTTAATGAAAACTTTTCTAAGAAACTAACACAACACCGATTATTAAATTTATTAAATAAAGTTTACCTAAATTTCATTCTTTAGCTACATAATCAAAAATATATATTTTTTAATGAAATTAAAATTAATAATCGATAACTATAATGTACATACAACGGGTCGTTATGTAGATAGATCTCGTAGTGATACGGATCATTTCATGACCTATTTTACAGACGCACTGAAACGTATCGCCGCTCCAATTTACAGCAGCTTCAGTGATCCGCAATGGCTGCGAGTGGGCCGCAGGCGGCGGCAACTTCACACGCGGACGGTCAAAGCAGACCAGCATTGCACTGTTTGCTGGCCGGCTACTCGATCAGAAGAATATGCGTCGGGTAGGATTTGACATCCACATTAAGAAGGCGATTAACAATTGATATTGTATCGTAAAAAGATTTTTGGTTTTCCATTTGTTTTAACTCTTTGACTACTCTTTAAAAATCAACAGCCTTGAGCCAACAGCTGTGCGCGTGACTATTGCTTTTCTGTATCGGAGGGTCGAAATTCCAGATTGACGTTATTTCAATTTGGTGCACAAACGTACAATCCGCGACAAAACAACAACAATGCAAAGCCTTGTTTAATTTTATGCCAGCTTTCAATCATACTGAGCGAAATGTACGCGTGAGTGACCGCTTCAATCGATCCCAGTAATATGCAGCTGTTGGCGGATGGCGGCTGGCGGCTGGCGGCTGGCGGCTGGCGGCTGGCGGCTGGCGGCTGGCGTCGACCGCACGGTGTATGTTGAAAACCATATCACTAATGTGTGCCACATGAAACATTGCTCTTATTAGTAATGAGCAGAATGTATTCCGCAGTACAGGTTGCTCGTAATACAAAATTTGTTATGTACGCAATGTCACTGGCGAACGTGTTACAACTAAAACTGCTGATACCGATGTCCATGGCGTGCTGAGACCGATACGATCTTACAAGGAAGAAAAAAGACATTTCTACAGAAGAATATACTAGTGGATCGTTTGCTTTTTCACATTTTTTTCTATCTTACACGTAATACTCAATATATTTTAATGATGATGTTAATTGCATTACAATGGATACAAAACGATGCCACATTTAAAACCGCATTTGAATTGTCCGCTGATTTGCGCCGCGGCGGTCGCAGCGGTCGCAGCGAGTACAGATTTATCATTATGTAGTAAATGAAAGAGAGCATACAATCTCTATATATTTACTTTCACAATTAAGCCTTAATGAGTTTGTTTACCTACATCTATTATATGTTTGACACTAGTATCTACATAACAAGCCATTTAAAAAGATGGACGAAAACGCAGAACATTTTCGATCCTCGATAAGAGATTGGACGAACTAAATCTAACTTCAAATGCCTAAGAAACGAGTTCAAATATTTAGCATCAACAGAGCCATCTGGCGGAAGCAGAGAGCCAACCAATTTTGTATGGCTTTTATTAAACTTATTTTGTTTTTCAATGTAATCAGTAAAGTGAAGTTTTCGTGTTTACAAAAAAAATATTCCTTTCAACAATATTCCACATTTTTCGAAATGCATCAAAATCAATTTGTTTTATTCATTCATTCGTTTGATGCGGAATTTGTGTTTTCATAAAATTCTTATTACTTTTCAAGTAAACAGCGGCTGTAACATTTTACACCGTTTAGAATACAACTTTGACATTTGTGATTTTTATCTCGCCTTAGTTTTCACACGTTTACCTTATATCATAACGTTATTAAAATGCCTCAAGCTGTATCTTTCTACAGAAACTATAAAATCGAACTCATTCATTTGTATATCGAATCGAAACAAAGAAACGTTATCAAGCAACAAATGAAAAGACATTCACATAGAAATTCTTGAAACGAGATGACTATTGTTATAATTTTCCGGTAAGTATACTCGTATACTAAGCTTGTATGATAAACAACGATCATTAAATCTAACACTACCATTTCATGTTTCCAAAATACAAAGTATATAATCGAATTATATACAAGAAAGTTAATATGTTTTTCATTTGTAGTTTTTGAATTTTGGATATCGGACTATTGAAACAATTTGTAATTTCCCAAGCCCCCGTATGAGCTCTGCGTACAAACAATACAAAGCGGGCACGTGTCCCCGCTGCCCATTGCCACTATACCAGCTAAACGACAACACAATTTACATGTTGTTGTGCACTACTTTGTTGTTAAGTTGTCACAGACAACAACCAGCGAGCGAGGCAAACAAAACACGAGCATTATTATTGCTTCTTGCAAACGATACATCAAACATAGTTACTTCGACTTATTCCACTTTAAATTCGATCAAACGTACTATAACCCTTGTTACCTTACTAATACTGTAAATGTGAATGTTTAGATGGATGGATCTTTGTTAGAGATTGTCACTTAAACGGCCGAACGAACGGACTAACATCGATGGAATTTGGCGTAGATGTAGAGCATAGTTTGGAAGAATACATAGGCTATTACCTTTTTTTTTCAATTGTACGCGGACGGAGTCGCGGTCGAAAGTTAATCTGCCATAAGTATTAATAATTCAATGAGTTATTATACGGTAATATCAGAATCTCTGAGTTAGCGGTGAGGCGTCCTGTTGCAGATATAACTGAGATGACATTTTCAAAATGGTGGAAGTTCCAAATTTTGCATAATTGATTGAATTGAAGCGGGAAATGGCGCGCTCGCTGCATTATGTTAGTTACCTACTCTAACGTCCCTTTGTGGTGGTCCGGTGCTCTGCCTTCAATTTCAATAAATTAGGTTTCTATTACTATTGCCTATAGTGGAAATATTGACGTTTCATTATCATATTGCTGTGTTTACTGCTACATTGTAACGATTTAGAAAGTGTTACAAACACACGCTCGACTAAGTTTTACTTATGATTTCAATTTTGTGGCCATGCTATCATAGTAATATTATAAATGCGAAAGTTTAGATGAATGTAAGTTTGTTAGTGTTTGTAGTCTAAACGGTTAAACGGATCTCGATGAAATTTGACATGGATGTAGAGGATAATGTGGAAGAACACATAGGCTACTCACTTTTGTTTTTTTTTTTTTTTAATTTCACGCCGATGAAGTCGCTGGCGATAGCTAGTAGTACTATAAAGATAATTCTCTATGCAAAACTCAAATGTTGGTTGTTTCAAAACAAAAGAACTCAGAGTTAAAAATGTTTTCTCCGTCACAGTTATCTGATTTTTGTAATCTATTTGTCAATTAGTGACGAAAACAAATTAAAAATTGCTTTTGAAAACATATAAAGTTAGAAATTAATATTTTGAAATGTTATTTTATTTCAATCGCAATGTTAATATTTCAAAATTGTATTGCTACAAAACAAATAACGGGTTAGGCTTTGAGAGTTATCCGGTGCGTTGGTAGCGCGGACTGCGGGCGGGGGCGGCGTTGCGCTTTGATCGATGGCGCGTTAAATTGGCCCCGTTGTGATGTCACAATCATTCCGCAGCGCTGGCGGCGCTTTGCCGATGTCCACTGCCACTCCTGCTGCTCAATACCTGCACTTCAAAATACTTTGCATTATTCTGTTTACTTTTACACAATCACACTTTCATTGTGCAAAAAACATCATGCACTCTACTAGTTCTATTTCGTTTTTTTGGTTATTCTTAAAATTAATACTAGCGTAGCTTAGCAATAGCAAGTCAAATCGGGTAACGGTCACTTGATATAGAGAGTAACATCGCGCCGCGCCGCTTCCCCTTCTGCTACAAGAAGCGAGGCGCGACCGGCGCGGAGTGCACGTCTAACATCAAACTCAATTCGCTTACCAAATTAAATTGTCCTGTGAGCGCTGCGCGGCGCGCGACGTCTTTCAACGAAATTGAAGCAATTTGCGTTGCGACGTAACTTGATCAGCGGGGTTAGACAGTAAAAATCAAAAAACGAAACGTTCCATCGTTTCGTCTAAGCGATAGCGTCTCTCGTTTTCCCGAGAAAGCTAGACAGTAACAGACGATAGTCACTTTCGTGCAGACGAAGGTGAATCGTCAAAAAAAACTAATTATTGTCTCTGCTGACGATGACTGTTGTGTCATCTGAATTTGACGTATAAAAATGTAAAATGTTCACGTCAAAAATACAGTTGAGATTCAAAAGTTAGTGAAGTGTGTTGGAGTTTAAAACTTAATAAAAATGAGTAAAAACGCGAGCAGCGAACAAATCGCCGTGATGTCTCTGCTGCCTCCTCTTCAGCAGCAATTGATCCTACATCTGATTTTGGTCATAGTCAAGGTAAATACTAACATACATATGAATTGAAACACTACAGTTCTAGATTGTATCTTTCCTGTTCCAAGCTTTTCCACCAAGCTTTAAACACATAATTTGTTGACAGATGCATCGCAGAACAGACGAAGACGCGTTTTAAAATAACGCGACGGACCTCCTCTATTGAGACGCCGTATGATCGAGTGGCAAAAGAGTTTGCTGCTGCGGAATTACAGCGGTTGAAGTTGAAGGAGGACCGTGACAGGAGGCAGCATGCATTAGAAATAAAAAGGCTTGAGCTGGAAATCTTGCGTGAAACCAATCTTCACGCAAGGGAAGCTGTCAGAGCCCAGATTGATAGGGATACAATAAATATCCAACAAGCATTCCTCAAACTTCTTTAAGACGCCATAACAAAATTTTCTCATTGACATTACTTCCTTTTTTTCGCTGGCGGTTCATTCTACCAATCTGGTTATAATAAAGAAGTAACGGCGCGAGTCCCACGGAGGGCGACACCTTGGGTTGGCTGAGAAAAGTATGTAGCTTTGATAAGCAGTCTCAAATGCAAAAACATCTAACTAATAATTAAAGTTGATTCAGTTGATCTCGAAGCAAAACGAGACACCTTTGAGAATCGCTTCAAAAACGAACGATCGTGTCGCTTTAAAAACGATTATGTTTGTCATTTCGTGTTACTGTCTAGGAATTTTAAAGGAAATAGTCGAAAAACGACAGACGAAAGACGAATGCGACCTTCGTGCATGTCACTGTCTAAGATTTTAACGCGTGACGTCAGACGTCAGTGTCTCAACCAATCACAATCGAACGATAATCGCTTTCGTTTCGTTCATGTTTTTTACTGTCTAACCCTGCTGTACTGTTTAGTAATGATTATAAGCTTTAAACTGCACTTGCGAACTAAATAATAAATTTATACATAAATGAAATAGAAATTTAAACTTTCATAATTATTGCAAATGTTTTGTTCATTCTTTGTCATTAGATTTTTCTGTTTCTTGAATAGTGTTCAACAATACAATATTTTTAGTTTCAGGTAAAAGTAGACATAAGAAACCCGCGCAAAATGCTAATACACTAAATATTGTAATTGAAACCCATTCAATTCCAATATTAACTACAAACGGTGCGATAAAACTGCCAAATCTCGCAAACATAGAAGCGAAACCCATTGCAGAATTTCTGATAATAGTTGGAAAAATTTCTGATGAATACAAATATACTTGAACAAACGATGTGTAAGCGCCTAATTGACCGATTATAGCAAATGTTAATGATACGGCCTGAGAACCTTCGGGTATGAAAATGAATACAAGTAACGACACCGCTGCAGTTGAAAAACTAGTAATAACAGCTAACTTCCTTCGCAAATACAACGAAGCCAATATTACAAGTATTATTCCTGGTATAAGACTTGCAGCTGAAAGTATTACGTTTAGGTACAAATTTCCTTGAAGACGTCCAATATATTGATTGATGCCGAAGAAAGTGTGCGCGCAACAGAACCATACGAAAGCGATTATAATCGAATAGATTCTTATTTTCGGTGTTTTGAACAAATCGATATAAGATCCGTATTCTTGTTTACGTTCTTGTTTTGTTTCTTGTTCGATTTTATCAACGATGGTTTCTATGTTGTCAGTCGGTCGTTTGTTTCTGTAACAAATAGACATGTTACAAAGTAACAAATAATGATGCAAACATTTGTATCTTTAACTCTTATCTTACCTTTTTGCAATAGTAGTAAGGATACTTATTGCTTCTTCTTTCTTCCCCATTGTTATCAACCATCTTGGCGATTCCGGTAGCAGCCAGAAGTTCAATAAAACAAAAACCCATGGTACTGAAGTCGCTAATTGCAGATACCGCCATTCCCTTACATAGTATGCTATTATAGGATGTACTAAATATCCTGTTAGGTAAGATATCTCAAACAATCCAGTCAGATATGCCCTAAATGATTTTCCACTGAGTTCTATAACTAGAATGTATGAACAGAGCATAGTGCCTCCCACTCCAGTGCCGATAAGAAAACGGCATACAAGGAACATCCATATTTCCGGAACTACGGCGGATATAATAACAAATATGACAGTCGTTGTGAAGGATAGGCAAGTAGCGATTTTCCGTCCGTATCTGAAATTTAATTTTAAATATATTCTACGTATATTTGAGACAAAAGTATAAACTATAAAAGTAATGAGTTGTGACGAAGTCCAACGTAAATATTATGCGATTTAATAAACTAGGTCAGAGAAAGTTGTTTAAATACATACATCAAGGACATTTAATAAAATGTAATAACATTTTTATGATAGACTTTCTTGAAGAACACGTTATCTTAATACGTACCTGTCTGAAATATAACCGTACAATAGACTTCCAGCAAGTATTCCGACTTGCAGCATGGATTGAGCCAGGCTAGCAAGCTGGGTCCTTCCACAAATAAGGTCCCAAGTGCTCGTCACAGAGTCGACTATAACACTAGTGTCATATTCCGGATTCTCACAAGGACAATAGTTTGTTGCATTCGATGCTTGTTCATCCAAACACACATAATCGACACTCGGTAGAATAAACACAACGTTTGTTAGCTGGAACTCAGTTGGATATCTAGATATAGTTACCAGAAATAAGATCCACGTCTGATATAAACCAAATCTTCCAATAGCATTTTCTATATGATCAATTTCTGTCATTTTGATCAGTTTCTTAGTACACTTTATTATGTATTGTTTAACTTTAGCATGATGCACGCAGTTGGTTGTATCTGTTACAATGTCAGACTGAGTCGACTCTCGTCAATGCATGGCTAATTAATTTTATGCCTGTAATAAACATATCTTTAGTATTTATAACCCGGTTTAAGATTACATATTTCGATAAAGGAAATGAAACGCATTATTTTAAAACGAGTCTTACAAATGATGATAAAAAAATGTTTGTATGTTTATTTTACTAAAGACTAATTACAGCCACTGAAGGCACCTA